CTCTGCAGTCAGAGCGTGCAGACCAGATGGGTGCTATGGTGGAAGGCTGGGCAGAGACCTTGGGAGCACCTGGGCCTTTTCAGCACGAGCAATGCCTGGGAAGGAAGGAGAGTGTATCTGTTTTGCACTCTCGGGATTGTTAGGTTCCATCCCCAGGGCAGTGTGAGGGAGTGTTCATCTTGCAAATCCCACCCCTGTTCTTCTGTGATGCCTGGGAGGCTTCCTTGAGTGAAAGTAAAGATTGGAAAGTGATAGAGGAAGAAGGTTTTTTTTAGTAGAGGAAGTGCTGTCCTAAACGCTTGTGACTCAGCAGACAGGCTCCGTTCCGCTGTCAGACACGTGGCCGGGTGCCTCCAGTAGCCCAGCCTGTCTGCCCTGACGGTGGCCTGACGCTTGCCAGAAGTCCACTGTTTTGCTCCCAAACTCGCTCCTGCCAGGGGTACCTATTGTCTAATTGCAAACTAACGGTCCCATAAACTGTGAAGAGTGGAAGCACAAAAAAAAAAAAGTATCATGGTATCATGTCCACAAAATCCAAGTTAAATTTGTAGAAGAAATTAAGTCTCTCAAACTCTTGCTGTTGAATAGGGTGTGGATGAGTCAAGACTGAGCAAGAAAGAAGAAAAAAGGGTAAAAGCAGAGGACTGTGCTGTATTCTTTGCAAGTGCTCCCAGCACTGTAAGTAAAGCAAAATAGAAATCACAGAGGATCCATAACGGCTGAGTTTTCTTGCCAGAAAACTGCAAGGGGTGACAATGAAATGGCCTTGGCCCTATACCCAAAAATAGGTGATAGATTTACATTTATTGATTTTAATTTAAATCGAAGCATTTTGAGGCATGGGTATATAACCTCCCTCCCCCAAACACAGGAGCCAAGAAGTGCAGCGGGCACTCACCTTAAGTGACCAATCCCCAGGCAATGGCGGATTCCGGAGTGGGTTGCCTTTCTCATAAAGTACGCGCATGCAAAGATCTCTAAATGTCAGGGGAGGGGCTGGCCTCTCATCATCTGCTAGGGGCAGTGGTCTCAGGACTTGCTAAGACTCGTCTCAGTGTAAGGGGCAGCCTCTTAAGGGAAGAAGGAATTGGGAGTGGGGCTGGTCCAGGATACCCTGGGTATCAACACCACCCATCATCTCCCACCACTCTGCACTGTGGGTCATGAGGCTGTGCCACATGCTAAGTGGAGGGGAAAGCCAGGAAAAAAGACGGCACCGGGTAGGACAGTGAGGGGACACAAGCTGTGGTCTGCGATCTCTCCCTATTATTTAGTAAACAAAAGGAAACAGAATGCTCGCTTGGCTCTTTCAGCAGCTAGCACGGATTTCTTCCCAAAACTTGGCTACATTTACTGCCACAGCTCTTACTGGATTTCACCACAAGAGGGCGAAAAGGTTTCTAAAATGAGAGATTCTTGTACAGCTAGGAAATCAAATCAATCAGGGCTGGGAGAGGTCTTAAAACACTTGGTTCACCGGTTTTCAAAATCTTTTTAGCTGAAACCACAGCAAGAACTGCATTCTTCATAGTGAACCAGTTCAGGAACATATATATATATATATATATATATATATATATATATATATATATATATATATATTTTTTTTTTTTTTTTTTTTTGTGAGAGAGAATGAGAGACAGAGAGCACGAGAGGGAGGAGGGTCAGAGGGAGAAGCAGACCCCCCGCTGAGCAGGGAGCCCGATGCGGGACTCGATCCCGGGACTCCAGGATCACGACCTGAGCCAAAGGCAGATGCTTAACGACTGAGCCACCCAGGCGCCCCATGAACATATATTTGAAACACATTGTAGGTACTAATTACTCTTATTTTTGAAACACACTCCACTAGTTTGTACGCCAACCAATTTTGTTAAAAATTAACCAACAAGCCACAAAACATCGGCAACCTACTAACTTGATTTCCTACCCCACCAGTGGGCCATTACTTTGAAAACCGCTGACTTGGCTCCAGCCTCTCATCTTACAGAGGGGTGCATGGGCCCTTAGGGTGAAGAGGGCTCCCCAGGAGCTACACTTTGCACACACGCCCAGCCACCTGCTCACCCTAGGGGCAGTCCTGGATGAGTGACAGACATTGTGCAGCAACTGAGCACTCACCCTGGAAATGCACCAATTTAATAAAGAATGCAGACCCAGGGGCGCCTGGGTGGCTCAGTCGGTTGAGTGACTGCCTTCGGCTCAGGTCATGATCCTGGAGTCCCGGGATTGAGTCCCGCATCGGGCTCCCTGCTCGGCGAGGAGCCTGCTTCTCCCTCTGACCCTCCCCCCTCTCATGTACTCCCGCTCTCTCATTCTCTCTCTCTCAAATAAAAATAAATAAAATCTTTAAAAAAGGGCGCCTGGGTGGCTCAGTTGGTTAAGCGACTGCCTTGGGCTCGGGTCACGATCCTGGAGTCCCGGGATCGAGTCCCGCATCGGGCTCCCTGCTCGGCGGGGAGTCTGCTTCTCCCTCTGACCCTCCTCCTTCTCATGCTCTGTCTCTCATTCTCTCTGTCTCAAATAAATAAATAAAATCTTTAAAAAAAAAAAATAAAAGAATGCAGACCCATTTGGGGCTGTACCATTTTTCACTTCTTGTCAATACTATGTTCTTGTAAGTACAGCAGAAATTCCTTCAGCCACTACACTGAAAGCTCCACTCAGGTGAGGTCTGCACTGCTCATTCAGGTAGCCAAGAAACTGCTTCAAAACTGAATGAATATCAAAGAGGCTTTCCCGATGATCCCATCCCAATCTGAATTAGGGCCATAATATCTAGCCCAGTGCCAGGCACATAGTAAGTGCTCAAGAAATAACTCATGGATAAATGGATCACCCCTCAGACAGTATAATGGTGACTCATATTTTTTATATTTTACAACTGGTACTTCTATCCTCTTAAAGAACTCTTAAAAACACCTAGCATGGTTGGCGAGGTCATGGATCATGGATTATTTCCACCCCAAATAAGGAAATAATCAGAAAAGACATGATCTTTCTTCTCTAGGTTGTGTGGCTCACTGGAGGCAAAGCAGGGGCTAGAATCTGGGTTCCCTACAACACCACACCAACCAGCCCATGGCAGCTCCCCAGTAGGAGACAGCACCCCACTCTCAGGGCGCCCCCCCCCAGCCCCAAGGATCGTGGCAGGCCACGGCCACAAATTAAGATATACCTTGCCCTAGGCTGCCTTGATCACCCTTGAAGGTGGGCCCCCATTTAGTGGTGATGTTTGAAAGTGGTAGAGGAATGGAGAAAAAATTTCACTGAATTTCTGGGAAAAACTGAAACCACTTTAGTGTCTAGAGTCTCTTGGTCCTGAAAGTCACTGAGCTCTTTTTCCTGGCTCCTTGATTTAAAAACATTTATAACTATTTTCAGGAGAAATGTAAAGGTAAACCAAATGACAATAGGTTATCCTTTCTTAGGGTCAATACCCTGCATTCCCCTACTTATTAACTACCACCCTCCCCCCCACCACTCCCCACATGCATATCTGCCTCCAACTTATTGATTTATTGCCCCACCCCGTTTTGGTTTTTTTTGTGTGTGGTTTTTTTTTTGGTCACAAGGAAAATTCCTTTAAAATTCAGGAACATTATACTATTACAAATGAAAAACACTAACTGAGCTCTTTGAGGAAGAGCAGGGGAATTTTTACTTAACTCATTTGGGTTTTGAGAACTTAGTTATTTTGTGAAAGATGCCAAGTATTTAATGTTCTTTCAAGGGGATGACTAAATTCATAAAAAAAGCAAAGTATTATTAGTTTTTTATGGTCTTGGAAGGAAGAAAAGAATTCCTGGAACTTGAAAACTGAGTTTTCTGTAGGCAATGCTCCTCAATGATAACCAGGGAGCAAATCTTCAGGGAGACTCTCTGGGAGGTGGCTACTCTCCTACTTTGATAGAAAGTTCTCAAGCTCTGTTTCTGCACTTCTCTCTTGAACTAGTAAAACTGCACTTTTCTCCCTGAGACAGCAAGGATCGTTTAAAAAGGTGAGAAGAGTAGGTTGCCTTTTTCTAGGAAAAATTTGATTTCATCAGTCAATAAATTTAGCCACCTTAGCTACAGGATTAAGTCTTTGAGGAACAAAGTCTGTGTTTCCAAAAGGCCTTCCCCACCCCTGTATCTGACACCAAGACTAGAACAATCTTAAACAAAAATCCTACTGCCCCTCTTTAAAACTCTACACTCAATTCTAGATTTTGTGAGGCTGAGTCCGCAGGCTTTGTGGAATATTTGGGGGTTACTGGAAAGAGTGTCGCTGCTCTTGGGACAGAGTGGAGTTCTGTAACTTTGCAATCTTCTGTTTGATGAAGCAAGCAATGTAGCTCCACACACACAAATAAGGTTCCAACAGCCAGTGCCTGGAAATCAGCAACCAAATCAGGAGCTGCCAAATTCTCATTCATTCCATTCACATGGATAACAGCCCTGGTCCATTCCCATTAAAGCAGACGCCAGTATTAGGAAGGTGCCTGCACCCTCGGCCAGCGCACCGATTCCAACCACTTTATCCGGAAGCCCTTGCAGGGTCGCCTGCGGTGGAGACAGTCCGTCTACGGTCCGCAGGGGAACGGGCGCAGATTTTAGAAATCCCGCCCAGGACTTCTGCTGGAGCCATGGTGGGTCGCGCAGTGACCACCTCTTTGGCAAGCACCTCTGGATACCCCCAAACAAGATCGAGCCTCGCCTTTGGGGCCTGTTCCTCAGTTTCCCCATGCACCTCTCTCCCAGGAATGGGAGCTGCCCTGTGAAAAATCTACGGCCTCGTAAACGCCGAAAGAGCCAGCCAGCTTCCCGGGCACTCTGCGCAACCACGGGCCGCTGCACGGCCTGACCACTTCGGAGGCGCCGAGGCACTAGCCCGATCTCCCCCAACGTCGTACTCCTCACAGACCCCGTCTCGGATCGGCCGCGGGGCGGGCGGACGGGCGCGCGCGCACAGGTGTCGCTGCCCACGCGGTGCGCGGCCGTGTCACTCGGGCACTCACCGTGGCGCGGCCCTCCAGCACGGCGGCCAGCACTCGCAGGGCGCTCGGCGAGCCCGCGCGGAAGTTGAAGAAGTGCAGCGCCGCGCGCGCCGCCTGCTGCAGGAGTCCGCGCTGGAGCTCGGCGTCCTGGAGCCCAGGGGAGTCCTCGGCCCCTCCGGGCGCCGCGGGTGCCGCCGCCACCCCTTGGAGGGCCAGCAACAGCAGCGGCGCGAGCAGCAGGACGGCGGGGCGCGGGCCCCCAGGCCCAGACGCGGCTGGCGGTTGCCGGCGGGGCGGCATGGACGCGGGCGGGCGGGCGCGGGGTTCGACGGTTCGGGCTCCGGGCGGGCTGCGCTGGCGCTGGAGGAAATAAGGCCGCGGCGGGCCACTCCCCTCCGCCCCCGGGGCGGCCCGCTGCCGGGAGCCCGGGTCCCCGCTCGGCCGCGCCCTCTCAGCGCTTCCTCCAGCCCCGGGGCCCCTCCGCCCCGCCCCACTCCGCCTGGGCCCCAGCTGCTCCGGCTCGAAGCCGGGACGCGGCGGCGCCTCCGTGGCGCGGGGCCGGGGGTGTCTGGCCCGGGCTGCGCTGGCAGAGGGACGAGGGGGGCAGTGGAGACTCCTCCCCCGAGGGAGCGCCGCGCCCCCAGCCCAGTCGGGGACCCGGCTGGAATCCCTTGGAGACTTGAACCTGGGCCAGGGCTCAGAGTCCCATCCAGAGATGATGGAATCAGTGGGGTGGATGGAATATTTTGTAAAGGCCTGAGTACTCTATTGATAACTTAGTTTTCTCCCTTCCCGTCACCCCTGGTCTCTCCAGTGCAAGCACCCACGTAGGGCTTGGAAAGCACAGATGGTAGCAATTATTAGAAAACCGGTAAAAACAACTATTTATACGTGAGAGAGACCACACGCTGTAACACAACTCCCTTTCTACATGCTGATGTTTGCACAGACCGTCTGGAGGGACAATCAGAAACCGGGAACCGTGGTTGCCTCTGAAGAGGGAGCTGGGGGTGGGAGGAGCTTACTCTAACTGCAAGACTTTGATTCTTTGCTATCATCTCTTACTGGTAGTAACAGCAGCTGGGAGCGTGGGGGCGGAGTCAGACCGCAGGGGTTGAAGAGCAGCTTCACCAGCGTGTTCCTGGACTGCTCCGCACTTTTGTGGTGCCTCCTAATGGTTTGCATGTGCTAATATCTATACATACGTAAAGCACACAGTAATGGCTATGTGAGTGATTGCTTGTATTAACCTAAAAAATTAGATATAATCTTGAAAATAATGCAGTCAGCTGTGGATTTCTTTTCACAAATGATGAGAGGGGATGAGCCCTGGAGACCTACATATTTTCCATGCTATGTCTCCAGGCCTGTAACGTCTGTCCTAAAACCCCTGGAGGAAGGCATTTTGCTGGTCGTGGAAGGAACAGAAACCTTGCTTGACGGAGTGAGCTGTTTTCCTAGAACATTTGGCTTCCTGATCGCTTCCTTGAAGGTGCCTAGGACTCAGGAATTCATTGTCCTCAACACTGGGCCCATAAAGCTACCTGATGCTCACACTGTCTGCAGCAAGTCCCCAGAGATGGGAACAAGACCCAGGGCTTGGAGCATCACCCCTACACCCCACCAGACTCTGAATAGCAAGGCAAACAGCGAGGGGCACCTGCAGCACCAAGGGCTCTAGAATGCAAGTCTGGGCTGTGATGGGCTGTGATAGTTTTCTGAATTTGTGAGGTTAAGAAGGGAGACTTTCTAGCTGGAACCAGTGAGAATGAATCCTTTGAGATGCAGAACTGGAGACAAGTTCTTTCTAAAAGAGATGTGATAGAAAACAGAGTAGTTAACATTTATTCCTGTCACCAAGGAAAGATTTCACATGACATAGTTAGAGACTGACATGGGTGTGTTTGAAAAGCCTCACAATCCAAGTGGATAAGGTAACCAGCACTATCCAATAGAATTTTCTAATGAAAATGTTTCTATATTTGCATTGTCTATATGGCAGCCACTAGTTACATGGAGCTACTGACTGTTTGGAATGTGGTTAGTGCAATTGAAGAACTGAATTTTTAATTGATTTAAATATACATAGTCACTTGTGGTTGTTGATTGCCGTATTAGCACAGTTATAGACAACTGACTTTTCACTACAGCAATGATTTGGGGAAAGAGGGAAAATAAGATTTTGGGGAGCCGTGTTTCAGATAGGATGCTACATGCTTTCTGTGACAGAATCATCTCATTCAATCTTCACAGTCTAGAGGAGTAAACTGGAGGCCAGAGAGAGGTTACATGACTTGCCCAAGGTTGCATTACTAGCAAGGGTCAGGAAAGGGGTCCACACTCAGGTGTGGCCCACCTTTTCTCCAAGCACTGTTTGGTATATTCCACAACCAGAGACTCGAGATGGAGGGGTTTAGATTACAACAACAAAGCTAAAGAAGGGCGAGAAAATACAACTGTGCAGTCAGAAGACTTGGGATTATTTTATATCAAGAGAAGAATACTGAAGGATCCATTCAATCTTCAGTGCTAAATTAAAAGATTTTTTAGAGGAGAGCAGGGGGCTGTCTCTATTACCACTAACGAAAATTTCATTTTATTCTGGTTATTCTCAGGGACATGGAGGGATTAATATAGCCTTGGTTCTGAGGTGTGGGCATCTCTCTTTATATCTCATGAGCCTGGTTGGACTTCAGGGCCCCAGAAGGAACTCAACAGCCTGAGCCTTAGGACACTGTATGAGTGGCATTTGGGCTGACCAGAAACTGGTGGCTTCTAAAGAAGATAAGAAGTATCAGGATTCCTATATCCAAATTATTTGGTGATCACAACACTGGTTGTTAGCTAATGTACATAGTGAGTGAGGACAACCTGTTTGCTTGATACTCTTGATTTGGAGTCATTGCTACATTTGAGCAGATGAATAGAACCGCTACCCAATTCTCTCTTCCACTTACCTGTGAGCATGAAACAATTCTTTTAAAATCCACCACGTGTTCACAGTTAAAACTGAAAGTAACTTAGATGGTGTGGTTTTGACAAAAATTTCTTCTCTTGCCAAGATCTGACAAGCCCGTTTTGACACATATTGCCAACAGATGTTTTTAAAAATGTGATGAACATGGTCAGTACCCAATGTATTGGATTTTGCAATTTTCCAAAGTAAGCCCTCATTTTTGTCATGTCATGCAAGTTAGGAATGCACCATCTTTATAGATCAATTATACATTTTCTGACGAATCTGGCATCGCATTTTGTTTTTCTATCAATTACTTAAGACAGGATATTTGCCATTCCAAGAATGGATTAACATTCTACTTGATTTATAAACTGTGATGTAAAGTAAATTACAAGTTGGGACTGTTTTAATTTTCCAAGCAAAGGATATTCAAGTAAAGCTTGAAATTGTAAAATTTCTTCTTTCTTATTTGAGAAGATGCTGTATTTGTTCAGAGTGAAATAAAAAATTTTAAAGTTTTTCCCCCCTGGCAGTAATACTTATAATTTTATGTTCTTCAAAGAAAAATCCCTAGTAATTGTTAATATTTGTATACCATGAACTTCCTGGAGTGACTGATTTACGAAACTCTGTTTAATGACACTAGTGTTCACCAATCAAACTTCATAGAGTATGTTATCAGGGCAAACTAAAATCAGTTCCTCATACCGCAGAAGGATGCATCTGCCCACATACAGCAACCTAGATAATAAGACAATGTGTTATAAAATCCACATTGTATTTTTTCCTTGTCACCATTCTTTCCACAGACATGACAAGGCATGAATTGAATAGTGAGAACAAAATACTGATAAGTAAATCACCTGGCCAATAAATAGATGACACAATCACCTAGACAACTTATATACATACAGAGTCGGTTGAGTTCCTTGTAATGATGCAGTGGGTGGATTTTCAGGTTGGGCAGTTATTCAAGAAAAGCTGCATTTGTGGTGGATTTAGAAGTGTCAGCAAGTTGTGAGAATATCAAGGTAGGGGACTGTTCCAGGCAGGAGGGGTGGCCTGAATGAATGAACTGTAGGGAGGGCCAAGCACAGGACAGCAGTGAACTGGCTGGCGTGGTGCCAGAGGCTCCCTCAGCTAAAGGAAAAAAGGTGGGAGACCTTGAAGCCCAGAAACAGGCATTTTGTTCTTAGAGGTGCCCCAGAAGTTCCCACACACGTAGGCTGAAAAGAATGCACAATGCACAAGGTGAGTAAGATTATATGAACGTTATTTTTTGGAAATAAATGCTAGTGTATAAAATGATTTTCTCTTCACTGGTAAATAACAAATATGATCAGACTTTAGGATAAGGAGGTACTAGTGTAGGCTGATATGAAATTCTATCTTTTGATTCTTAAAGAACTAACAAGTACAGAAGAGTGCAAAGGGCTCTGGTCTGAGAGGCAAGAGGAAAGAGTTCTAGCTCAGCTCAGCCGTCCTAACTGGCTTCGGTCTCCTCTGGGTAAGGTGCTGGGTTTCGGTGGAATTGGATGATAATCGGAAAGAAGAGCCAGTTTGGAACACTGTGGTTATATTCTCCTTTAGCTGTGCCTACCCAAGGCAGAGAGGCTTGCTGGATTGTCCTTTCTTTGGACTAGTCTCAGTGCTACTGTCCCATCTTCTCCAAGAAGCCCCGTTCTCTCTCACCAGCATGCAGCTATCATAGATAGACTTATTACCTGATATTTTATCTTATTTTCAGTACTTCTCTTTTATTTAATTTACATTTTATTTGTGTATTTCTCAGCTATTTTTGGATTTTTAAAAATCCAAACCAAAAAAAGATTCACAGTTTAATTTTTATGCCTGTTATCTGAATTAAATGAGACAATCGGATGTTTGGGATTCGGTAAATGAGATGACGCACGTTTTAGACTGATGGAGCAGTCAGGATAGGCTAGGATATGCTGCAATAGTGAACGAGGCTTAAATCTCAGGACTTAAAACAGCAAAGGTTTACTTTGTTGCTCTCACTACAAGTCCGTTAAGGTTTGGCTGGAGGCTATGCCTGTATCCCTCGTTCCAGGGAGCAGGCTGAGGGAACAGCCTCTTCGGGGGCAGGGCTCCTTGCTGCGGCTGAGGGGGAAAAGGAGCAAGGGGGAGTGTGCTCAGGCTGTTAAAGTTCCCATCACATTTCATTGGCCAAAGCATGTCACGTGGCCGTGCCTAACTTCTTCAGGGGGTGGAGAGGTACCATAACATTATGTTCCCCGGGAGGTGGCAAGCTGGAGCTATCTGGAACGGTAACGCATGTCTACCACAACAGTAATTATCAGGCAAGGCCCTACTTAGTCCTAAGTCTTTTTGTATGTCATTTTCGTCTGCTAGCGCTGCCATCACAAGCTACTACAGACTGGGTGGATTAAACAGCATAAGTTCATTGTCTCACAGCCCTGGAGGCTAGAAGTCTGAGATTAAGGTATTGGCAGGGTTGGTTTCATCTGAGGCCTCTCTCCTTGGTTTGCAGATGGCTGCCC